CAAACAACACCAAAAAAAAAAAAAAAAAAAAAAAAAAAAAAAAGCCACCAAGTTGCAGCCTGGCATTTCCATGTACTGGTTTGCTGGGATCCTCCAACAGTGGGACTCAGACTCAATGTCAGAGCTGAGACTCTCCAGTACAGTTTTGTTTTGTCAAGGGACTATCCATGAATTAGCTCTGTAGACCAGGCTTACCTCTGCCTCCCAGTGCTGGGATTAAAGGCATGTGCCACAACTGCCCCACTTTAAATAAGTAATAAACCTTCAATTCCAATAAAAAGCTTTTTGTTGAACTTAATGGAGACTCATTCATTTTGAACGTCTGCTTTAAAACTGTCTTTACAATCATGGCCTAGCACACCCTGTTCCAGTATATGGCTTCTGACAGGAAAGTAACAGGCAAGTGAACTGTATAAAACTTTTGAGAAGTTATGAAGTCGGAAGAGAGGCAAAAAAAAATGTTAATATTCACCCCTTTTGCACTTCCTGTGATCCCATGCATAGCACCTCCCACTTCCACCAGTGGACCAATCACAAGGATCTCCAAGTCTAGACTTGGAGTCTAGTAATGCCTAGTAAGAGGGCTGATGTGTTGCCCTGGAATTCACAGCAAGCAGGATACAACAGTGCATCGTTTTAATATGCTGCACAACAGAACCAAAACTGTACAGCCAACCCACTAGCTGTAAGGTGCTGTGACACACCACAAGCTGTGTTAGGATTAGCTGGCAAGTATCATGAGGCACCAGGGAAAGCTCAGGAGTGGTCTTTCAAGAGCCCTTTGTGAAGGGCCACTCTTAACCTCCCATACTGTCATACATGATTCTGAAAAATAAACTTTATTTAGCTGGAAATGATCACATGCTTTACTGCACAACATAAAAATTGCCATGAAAATTTTAGATACTCAAATTTTCTATACTGGTTCTCAAAACGTGGCTAGTTTCTCATGATGCAGTTACCAATCTGACCTGTGTTCTTGACTCTGCATAGAGGATTAGTGCCAAACATCCAGTTGCCCTCCCAGCTACATTACTTTACAGTGAGGCCTTCTGTGAGAAACAAGGGACAACACTGGCAATCACAGGGAAGCAAGCATGTGCTTGGCAAGCACTCTCAATGAGGCATGTTCCCAACCCTTACCTTTTTGACAAATGGCCTATGAAACCCAGGTTGGCCTCAAACTTGTGGTCATTCTGTGTTTATAGGAATGCACCCACCGGGCCAGTCTATTTACTAATTTAACCTTTTAGTGAATTCCAGTATTCAAGAATTTCAATTCCTATCAATTTGAACACCTTGCCATAATCTTAAAATGCCTTTTAACTCCTGTAACTTTGCCTCATTGGCCATTTGCTATCAACTTGGCTGGTGCTTAAGAGTCTTTAAAAAATAGAACAAAACAAAAAACTAGCTTCATTCAAAGGCAGTAAAATAAGAGAAACGTTTATAGGCCCAGCTTACTGACTGAATACAACTGAGGAAACGTTCTACAGCCTATTAAATCTGTTCCACTTTTGAAGAATGTGATTAAGGGTCACTGGAAGCAAATTCTAGGGCTCAAAATCACACTTCACATCTACCGATAGCTTTCATGTTAACTATTAATGCAAGTCTCTTCATTTGTAAAATGGAGAAATGATACCTACATATATTATGCAGGCCAACGCACAGGTCATGTGACTGCAGCACTGCCTAACAATTAGTATTAGGTAAGTGTTGTGGTTGTTAATTCCTATACAGTACACACTCAATCCTTCTGTGGAATTGTTAATGCTGTGAGACAATCTTTTTGTCCACTGTAAAGCCGTGTCTCTGGCCAAGGCACCTTCTGATTGGTTTAATAAAGAGCTGAATGGTCAACAGCTAGGCTGGAGAGAATAGAAGCAGAAACTCAGAATCTAGGTACATGGGAGACACCAATGAGACATGAAGGGAGTTGGACACACAGAGGGATAAAAAGCCACAAGGAAGAATATTGATGAACAGAACTGGTCAATTTAAGTTATAAGAGCTAAATGGAACAGGCCTAAGATAACGGTCAAGCTTTCATAAGAAATCTCTGTGTCATTATTGAGGAGCTAGTCCCAAGTCCAACAGGAAGACCGGTTAATTACTATTCAACCATTATAAATCATTTCAATTTTCTATTACAAAAATACATCCTATTGAAAGTTTTAAACTTTAGAACTATGATTTTTTTTCTCCAATTCTTAAAGTTGATATTTTTTTAAAAAGATTTTATTTATTTACTATGTATACAATATTCTGCTTCACCAGGTCTCATTATAGATGGTTGTGAGCTACCATGTGGTTGCTGGGAATTGAACTCAGGACCTCTTGGAAGAGCAGTCAGTGCTCTTAACCTCTGAGCCATCTCTCCAGCCCGAGTTGATTCTACTTATAACTGAACTATAACCTAGAATTAAAGGAATATGAGCATTCATCTCTAATAGATCCACTATTGGAATCCTATTTGTTGGTAACTAAGTCTCCTCAACAGCACTTTTGTGACTACACATTTCATCACCTTCAGGTGTCCCACCTGGGCCTTATACTCACAAGATAGCTATGAATGCAGCCAGCCCAACACCAATCGTGTCATGCTGCACTATCAAAAGATGGAACATCCCTGAATGATCCACTCTTACAGTAGTCACTAGGTACACAATGCTGAGATTATACACATCGCTATTTTCTAGAACACTCAACAGGGACTGCTTGTGACACAAGAGCGGTCAGTTAGTCTTAAGTTTGTAATGAAAGTGACGCTACTGATTCCATATTTATTTTAGAAGGATCTTTATCAAGTTCATCAGTGTGAAAGGATGAATCCATAATTAACCACTTAAAGACAGCATTTTTCTCTCAACTAGTGATTTTCATTCTGCTACCATAGTTCAGCTCACCCTTGGGTCTACAATAGTCACACTCATGTCATAGGATCTGAACTATACAATTGTGTATTGTGGACAATTGCTTTAAATTGATACAAGGAAAGAATAATCAATGTCTCAAATTTACAGAAAACCAGACCGAAACAATTGACCAATATAAATAACTCTTAATACTTGTTTATTCTGCTTTATTCATATAATAACACTAAGATCCTAACACACGTCCCCCTATATTCTCCTTAAGCTAGTTTTCTGGCCTTTAAGTAAAAACATCTCAAAGTCAACAATTAGTTTTATAGCCACTGTTCTTATCAAATGGTGATACACCAAAATCCCAATTCTCATGAATTTTAACATATTCAAAGTACATTATTTAACCTAAGACTGAAAACTGTGCCTTAACTTTATTAAAAAAGATAGCCACATCAGTTTAACTACATATGTGATACTACCTATTCAATTTATTAAAAATTGTAATAAACATAATAATAAACTAGTGCTCCAAACTTAGGCTGTGCATGGGGAAGACCCTATAAGAAGACACAAGAGACTGCCTTGGCAATACGAAGTACAGATTCCTTCTACAGAGATGGAGAAATAAAAGGACAAATCTAGTTGTCTAAAAGACAATTCACTGTACACATTTTATTTACAGTTTTGTACACTGTCTTAATATGAATGGGACCGCTTTTCTACTTGAGCCATTTGTAACCAAAGCAAAATAAACTAAGTAATAGAAGGTGTTAAAGTAAAGCATAAAGATACAAAAGCAGACATACTAATTCTAGGTAGGAATGTAATTATGGTGTTACATTTTTATAGTCCACAATTATGTTTAGGGATCACACAGACATAGATCACTGATTTGAATGAAAGGCATAAATTTGTAGCAATGCTTTGTAGTTACAAAAACCCAAAGTTACCAAAGAATGCACAAATTTAATGTTTATTCCACCTTTCTGTCATATTCCTGGATCCTTCACCAATGTTACATGAGGAAAAAACAAAAACAAAACAAATGAAAAACTGAAATCAGAATCACTAATGTTATCAAGGAGGGAAGCAAATAAATTAAACTCTAGCAGCCATCAGCAAGAGGACAGCAAGGAGAATGCTGGGAAAGGAAATGAGGTTGCTAGAAAACTGTACTCAGACTCTCACCAGCAAAACATGCTCCTGCAGAGTGGAACAGAAACAGGTCTTTTCCTGCTAAGGTAACAGAAATGCAAGTTCTTTTTCGAATACTGTGGAAAGGCAAATGTGTGTATCATGGTAATTCTAACCAGCTGTTACAATGCGGGCCAGGAACACATCTGCGGGTTCTGGGGTGACAGATACTGTAATTCTTTGATTGGGATAGTAGACACACTAGCAAAAATTGAGGGAGGGTAGGGAAGAAATGAACACAAAGGTACAAGACAAAGGCGAATGAGACTTCTCTTATATCTTAGCAACATTTAGATGGAATCAAACTTCAGTGCAGTCCACTCTGCTTGGACGAGGCTTTGGTTCAGCTCCCAGTCTCGATTGCGTGACGCAGTCTCCTGTGAGAATACTCAGGTGTCTTCTTAAACAACAAACCTATTTTTAGTGGTGGAGCCGCTCTTTGTAGCTGTGTCTGCATGGGACTGATAACCAATCACTATCTTTGGAGGAAGTCCTAACCTTTCCTTGTATACCCTCCTAGAAGACAAAGGAAACAAGGACCATTAATTATTCCTCAAAATAAATAAATAAATAAAAAGTTTTTGATAAATTCATGTTAGTCTTTACATGAAAAATGTTCACAAAGGAAGCAAAACAAAATATTGGCTCATTTTCTTTCAGTATAACCAGCAAAATTAAAAATCAGCATTTATTTTTACAATCATACATCACTTTATAAATATTTATATTCCCACCAGGTCTGTGTAGGTTACTACAATTATTATTATTAAATCAGTAGTGAACAAAGCAAGATCAGTCCATGAGCTAACAGCAAATCAGTAATTATAAATACCTATGATGAAATAGTCACACATATACCTCACTTACTTAAAAAATAAGTAATATGCACTATCTTCTTCATTCCTCTATCTAAAAGGTTAAAACTAAGGTGGATATTTTGTCACAAGCCTGGAATCCCAGCATCTATGAGATTAAGGCAGAAAAAGGCCAGCTTGGTTTACACAGCAAGACACTATCTCAAAAAAGAAAAAAGAAAATATTGATATTTTTACATATGAATTCTATTCTGCCTAGGTACTAATCACAACCCAATTTCCAAATTAGTTGTGACTACTTTTAAGAACACATGTGGTGTGTACTAAACAGGGCTAAGTATGGGATATGTAAATCAGACTGCAGTATTAAGAGAAATCTCTCCTTAACAGCCCAAAAGGTGGCTGGGCATTGTGGTACATGCCTTCAATCCCAGCACTTGAGAAGCAGAGACAGGTAGAACTCTGAGTTGGAGGCTAGCCTGGTCTACATAGTGAATTCCAGGTCAGCTAAGGGTATATAGAGAAATCCTGGTTCAAAATAAATGGATGGATGGACAGACGACCAGTGTCAAGGTGTTAAGTTTAGTCTTCAGTGAATGAAGCACATCTAAATGCTAAGAAAAACAACAAAAGCTATAGAAAAATTAAAAAGTGTATGGCCATGTATTCTAAGTGATTATGAAATAAGGCTGACAAAACACCTGAAAATGTGCACAGAATTTCCTTGTCAACCCTAGAAATCTGAATTTTTAATTCCCAGGAAAAAATACCAAACACTCAAAAAATGAGCAGGAGTTTTACATTCCAGAATTTAACTTCTAAACAGGTTTTTTGTTGGGGGGTGTCATGGGGGGTGGCTGTAGACCAGGCTAGCCTTGAATTCACAGATCAAACTGCCTCTACTTCCTGAGTACTAGGATTAAAGGCTTATGCCACCACCACCTGGCCTCAACAGGTATTTTTTTGAAATAAATAATCTGACAACAAGTATGAGAACAACATTGTAACAGATTAATATACACTTTACCATTAAAAATGTATTTACAAAACAAGAGAAAGAAAGAAAGAAAGAAAGAAAGAAAGAAAGAAAGAAAGAAAGAAAGAGGAAGAAGGAAAGAAAAGAAAGGAAGGAGTAGATGAAATGTGTCAACTGGCCGGGCGTTGGTGGCGCACACCTTTAATCCCAGCACTCAGAAGACAGAGGCAGGCGGATCTCTGTGAGTTCGAGGCCAGCCTGGTCTCCAGAGCGAGTGCCAGGATAGGCTCCAAAGCTACACAGAGAAACCCTGGCTCAAAAAAACAAAAGAAAAGAAATAAATGTGTCAACTGGAAGCATCAAAAAAAAAAAAAAAGCTATTTTCAGCCTGGCCGTGGTGGTACAGGCTTTTAATCCCAGCACTCAGGAGGCAGGCAGAAGCAGGCAGATCAAAAGTTCAAAGTCAGCCTACTCTATATAGCAATTTCCAGGACAACTAGGGCTACAGAGAAACCGTGTCTCAAAAAACCAAAAACAAAAAAATCCCTTGAAAAACTGAATGTTTTTAGATTTCAAAACATCTGATATAAAACATCCATAACAAATTAGTTTCTATTTTAAAGAAATACGACATTCCTACAAGTAAATGTGTAACTAAAAGATGAAAAATGACAAGTCAAGAACGTCTCCTTTCTTATAAATCCCACTTACAATCAAATTTTATTTTTCTTCTTACTGATTTAAGTTGATAGGGGCCAGGTGAGGGGGAGGAGACTGGCCACATTTATAAAGAATAAAACTTACCAAGACAAAATACAAAAGTTTATAAACTCGTTGGCTCTAAACATGGACATGACTCGCTACCTTCATTCAACTAGTCTAGGCAATTATATACACCACTGCACAAAAGCATTTTACAGAAGACAAACACATTCAGTATCAACAGGGTTCAAGCTTCTAAGTGTTCATAAAACATTTACAAAGAAAATAACAGCTCATAACGCCCAAATTTCTAAAGGTGGATGATTTAGTCAAGTTAACGCTGTCAAAGTAGGTAGGAAGAACAAAAGCCGCACCCTATGTGTGTGACTGCGTCTCTGTTTTCACACTCAGTCGTCCATATTGCTATCTTATCACCTTTAGCTCTGACATTAACAACAGCTCCACATACATCATCACTGTAGTCATCAAAAGATTCTCCAATAAGGCACAGCAGCTGAAAAAAAAAGAACACCCAAATTACATGAAACATATCAACAACAATGAGAAAAGCAAAGAGCTCTTCTAGGTGTACATTATAAAAGAAAGCAGCTTTTAAATCTAGAGTTGACTTCTTAAACTGGTCAGGCAGAGGCAGCATTGCCAAGTCTGAAGCCATCTTGATCTACAGAGACAAAAACAAAGCAAATGAATAAAGAAATTGATTCTTAATTTTTTTTGTTGTTGCCATTTTGGTGGGGATGGAGACAGGACATGCACATAATGGCAAACCGAGTAAGAGGACAATTGGCAGCAGCTGGTCCTGCCCTTCCACCCTATAGGTTATGGGAATTAAACTCAAAACTTGGCAGCAAGCACTCCCACCTGTGGAGCCAGAAGCCAACTTAAAAACTGACTTTTAGCCAGGCAGTGGTGGCACTCGCTTTTAATCCCAACACTTGGGAGGCAGAGAGGCTGATCTCTATGAGTTCGAGGCTAGTCTGGTTCACAGTGAGTGCTGAGAGGCTCCAAAGCTAGAGAAACCCATCTCGAAAAACCAAAAACAAACAAACAAAACCCTGACTTTTAAACTGTCTAAATTTAAACATTTATATATTTTTTTACCTTGGCTTAAGAAAATTCAAATGTTTTAACTTTTTCTGCAAACTGGGCACACACAAAAATGATCTCATTAATATCCATCTGCTCGACTGCTTAGTTTGTTGGCAAACAGTCATTAGCAAGATGACTGAAATAGCTACTTATGCTCCCATTTAATTGCCATGTTCTAACAGTTTCAAAGTAGAGTTCATTAGCATTAAGCACATTTAACATTGCTGAGCAACTGTTACTAGAATCTATAGCCATAATTGTTTTTAACTTACAAAAGTGAAATGTCCCTTTTCCTATGGCAGTGGGTCATGGGTCATGTCCCCTTTAGGGACTTAACAGCCCTTTCACAAGGGTTGCCCAAGACCATTGGAAAACACAGATATTTACACTACAATCGATAAAACTATAGTTAGGAAGTAGCAACAATAATTTTAGTTAGGTCACAACAACATGATGTATTAAAGGTTTGCAGAATCGGGAAGGTTGAGAACCACTGTCCTATGGGATTCCAAAATGATATTTACTCATTCTCCTCCAAAAGTGTAACTTTTGCTTTAAAATATTACTGATACACATATGTAGTAAGTGCTTATTCACTTAGTAAAAGCTAACTATAAATCAGGTATGGAGTCTAAGTGGTTACAAAAAAAGCATCAACCATGAACTTTGCTCCCCAGAACCTGACCATAGAAAATGCTTATGACTTCATATTTATAAAACCAAAGTGCTAAAGTCCCATATCAAGACACATACACCAAATAATATCAACCAATAAGCTTAGTTTGATTACACTGATTTCAAAATTTTGTAACTTTTAATCAGCAATGCTATGAATGGGTTGTAAAAACTTACATCAATTACAAACTGTGAGATCCTATCATTTTTGATTAATGAGATGACAGGGGAGAGCTGACTGTAGAAGGTGGAATTAATGTCAATCACTTTGTATCTGACTTGTAGATAATATAATCATTCACCAGACCGACATATACAAGACACTCTCATGGACATGTATATAACCCACAGCATTCCAAGGCTGGAGGAAGGGGGATCCTGGGCTCAACCCCAGCACAGCTGTGTAGTCAGACACTGCCTTTAAAGAGCAAGGGTTGGTGACTGTCAGTCAGCAGGAAAAGCATCCCTTAATTTTTCTAAATGTGTTTTTATTTTATAGGTATTTTTAGATTAGTATAAAGGTAGTGGTTTCCCCATGGCATCTTCATACTTGTGTCATGGTATCATCATCTCATTTCCACTCCAGACAGCGGATTCCCCACCCCCACAGTGCTTCCCTTTAGCCCATCCTTGTACTTTCCAATAGAATGTACGCACTGTCCTATTTCCAAACCTCATTAGGTCCTGTTAGTAGCTTCATGACCTACAAACACACACATACAAATCTTAAACCTAAGTTCTACATATGAGAGAAAACATGAAATTTCTCTTTCCGAGTATGACTTACTTTGCTTAACAAGATATTTTCAGGTTACACCCAAAAATATCAAAACAACAACAACAACAACAACAAAACCCATAAAATGCTTCAGGTATTTGCATGTCATCCTTATGATACTAATTTCTATTTTGTTTCAATTTTAGTATATGCAATGCCACGTGAGCACCACACAAGGATTTTTTTTTTTTCTAGAACAGGTGACCTGGGTAAGCCAAAGAAAATACATCCTAAAGGTGGTCTGTAATTTTAAAGCCTTACTGTCTCTAGCCAAAAGCGATCGAGGTCACTTCGTCTCTGCTGTTTGTTCAATGTAATTAGCCATCGTCCTCCCCGTTTGTTCTTCTCATCTTCCCACATAGGCTCAATACCATCCTACAAAGTAAGAACACAATTAGAAATCAGCAAGCAACAATACTAACTTTTCTTTTATTCCCTACACCCCTGTGGTTGGTACAGCCTCTTCAAGTACACAAAAATTATGTGCCAGAGACATGTGACCACAGTAGAGTACCACTTCATCACCAAATATCTCATCTTGAGGTTCCACTTTATCTGAAGGTTCTGAAAATTCCCCAGAAGCAGACACCTTTTAGAAGCTACATTAAAAATTATGTACATGAAGCCGGGCTTTGGTGGTGCACAACTTCAATCCCAGCACTTGGGAGACAGAGGCAAGTGGATCTCTGTGAGTTCAAGACCAGCCTGGTCTACAAGAGTTAGTTCCAGAATAGTCTCCAAAGCCACAGAGAAACCCTGTCTCGAAAAACCAAAGTTTATGAGCCAATTAGTGTCCTATCCTAGCACCCAACAAAGCTCTATTTATCTCATAGGTTTAAAATTAGCCGACAAAGTCAGGCTACTCAAGTATATCTAGGAAAGGCTGTACAGGATGAGCAAAGCTCAAAGTCAATCCCAAGATGTGCCCATGAGTAACTAAGTCACACCAGACTGCTGCTGTACTCAAGCCTGGTAAAGCCAACTGCCTGAATCTATAGCCAATTTTTACAAATATATGAATGACCTGGTCCTGTAAGAAATATAAACAATCATTGATTAGGCATACCTTAAAAAGTGAGTAGTCACAGCCAGGCATTAAATTACTAGACAACTGGATATGGTTGTATAAACTAGGTAAAAGAAAATAATAATTAAAAACTTAGTATGTAATGCAGGATTTGGCTGCTTACACACACACACATATATATATATATATACATACACATACTTGGAAAATATGAAAAAAAAGTATAAGTAAATGGACAAAACAGGTCTAAATAATGATTACATTTAAGGAAATTTATAACAAACTACTACAAAGAATTAGCTGAAATGACTTTATTCCAACAAAAATATTTCAATACCTTTTTAACTCAATTCATAGATGTGTATTTAAGAATAGGAAAAGAGATCTCTGTGAGTTCGAGGCCAGACTGGTCTACAGAGTGAGTGCCAGGATAGGCTCCAAAGCTACACAGAGAAACAGTCTCGGAAAAACAAAACAAAAGAATAGGAAAAGAAACCAACCAGTCTGCATTGTTCAATTGACATTATCTCCCCAGCAAGCATCCAAGAGTAAACACAAGAGTGGTTCTCCAACTCCAAAAATGGTTCCATGCCAGTCAGCACTTGGAGGTTGAGGAGCTTGGGGCACATACTAGGCTCACAGCCATATACCAACAGTTGGACCTGTATTTCTGAGCTATTTCCCAAACAGCCATGGAACAGTATTTGAGATGTTTGATACTCACTGCCTGAAGGCAGAAGACTGTATCACTTATCTCTTGTAGTCTCTTAAAAGTAACATTGATTTAAACATTGGTTAACAGTATTTGTCTATCTACAACATCAGAAGGCAGAGATTATCTTAGTTACATGTCTGCAAACCTTTTAAGAGGCATGTTTTCCTGTGCTGACTTTAACTTTGTCTAGGAATATTTCAGACAATTTTAATTATTCTACATCTTTCTTATCACATTACATAGTCTAATCCTACTTGGATAAGATAACATTATTATGCATAAAGTGTCTAATGGTTCACTATTCCCAAACCACAGTCACTAAGAATCTTCAGATTATACAGATGAGACTGTTCATATGAAATCTGCTAGAAAGGAGTGAGAAATAAAGCAGTAGGCCAGTATGCACAAGGAGGAAAAGGACTCTTTCCAGTATCAATTACAGTACCCAATTTCTCTTACACTAACTAAGGAGGAAAAGGACTCTCCCCAGTATCAGTTACAGTACCCAATGATTTCTCTTACACTAACTAGGCTGTGGGGATGTGCTCTATTGGAGGACAAGCTAGAAACAATTATATAAACTTGGCAAAGCCAAACAATCCAGATCAGGTACAAATATGACTGGAGGTGGGGTTCAAGACCCTTCTTTTCCTTAGTAGGAAATTAGAGGGCTTCCTTCTGTACATATAAAGGAGGCTTCAGAGTTATTTAAGAATCTTGCAATGAACACAATTAAGAGTACAAAACCACTTCATGCTTTCAAGAACTCCCAATTAACTAGATAACTACCTCTCTTAATTAGCAGAACTTAAAATATTCTTGTATCATAAAAAGAAAATAGCAGAAAAAAAGTGAATTCAACAGTTTTATTTAGTCTATACTTTGCCCTTTTCAGTGATGCAATATATACCAAATGTCTATTAGAGGCCAAGCATTGGAAACACACTGAAGACCGACTACGTCCTTGAAAAAATCTACATCTATGAATTATGACTACAATCCATTCTCATGTGTGAGCAAACACACATAGGGAGTTCCATGAAAATGTTAAGAGTCATTAAATTCAGCATGTATATGAACCTAACATAAATAAATATACAGACTGGGCAACCTCGAGGTAACTCAGACTCTTTAAAATTTGTCCTTTTCATTTTCAAACAGTGTTTCCCTATATATTCTCCAAGAAAATCAAAACAAATTAACTTTGGAGGAGCTGGGATGCAGCTCAAAGGTACAGCATTTGCCTATCTAAGTTTCTGAATGCGATCCTCAGAAAACAAAAACTGGAAACATTGATTCAAAGCTTCTAAGGCATGGGCAGTATATGTCTGAAAGGTAAAGGCAAGTTCTAGAATGCTAGGACATCTTCAACAACTCAGCTTTATCCTGTCTGAAAACAAACACAACACTTTTAAAGACTTTCAGTTTATATTCTATTTTTAAATCTTGGAAAAGTTTGATTCCAAGTCAACTTTCCTAAACTGAAAACTAAACCTTAAAAAAAAAAAAAATTTTTTTTTCAATTGCTCTTTCAAAAATTACAATAAAATTGATGAACTAACACCATCATTCTCTAGGCATGCCTCTGAATCTTAATCACTTCAGCTTTTGATATCCTAAGTGGGGAATTCCAGGTATCACAGTGAAAACTGTTTGCAGAGCAGGCTCCAATACCCAGGTATGACACAAATATCCATCTAGGTGACTGCACAGGGGAACAAACTCCAACAATGTTCTCAAAAATTCTAAGACTGTAAGAGGGGATTCTCACAGGCAGATGAGGAATAGAGACTATTCAAGCCTAAATAAAGGCTGACTCTAATGAAACGGTCTCTATCTCTATCTCTATCTCTATCTCTCTCTCTCTCTCTCTCTCTCTAGACTATTCAAACCTAAATAAAGGCTGACTCTAATGAAACGGTCTCTCTCTCTCTCTCTCTCTCTCTCTCTCTCTCTCTCTCTCTCTCTCTCTCTCTCTTTTTTTTTGTTGGGGGGATTTCTTTATTGAGGATCAAGCATAGGGCTTTTGAACATACTAAATCTACAGCAAAGCAAAATCAAGTCAAACATTTGTGAAGAGACAAATGAACTTCGTCTTTCATTTTGTGAATGACGTAAAATAAAAAAATATACAACTTAAAGTATAGTTTAAAATAAAATTACTTACGCCCAAAAGTCTTCAACAGTATCAAACTTAGAGATCAACCGAAGGTTTGCTTGCCAAGTTTTGCTTTTATCATTTTTAAAAAACCAGAGTGCCCACCTAAAAATAAAAAGGCAGTATATAAAAACACACATTCATAGCAGAATTATTTACCAGTCAAAAGGTAGAAATGTCCATCAGCAAGAAAATGATGTAAAAATGTAGAACTGACAGACAGTGGAAAAGCCATCAACCCTGAAGAGGAATCTGACACTCAGTACAACAAGGGTGAAGTCTAAGAACACGGGACTATATGAAATAATACCCACCCCAACCATGGCTCTACTTACATGAGGGACCTAAGGTAGTCCGATCTGGAGAACAAAAGTGGTGCCAAGGAATAGACAGAATGTTGCTGGCAACTTACTTAACTTGTTTTAGTTTAAAAGATGAAAACAGGAGCCAGGTGATGGTGGCACATGCCTTTAATCCCAACACTCAGGAGGTAGAGGCAGGTGATTCTCTGTGAGTTCGAGGCCAGCTTAGTCTACAGAGTGAGTGCCAGGACAACCAGGGCTGTCACACAGAGAAACCATCTCGAAAAAACAAGGGGGAAATAGCACAGCAGGCAAATGCACTCACAGTCAGCCTGGTGACCGTGTTTGGAAAAGTTTGGAACTGGAACCCATGTAGAAGCTAGTTTTGGTTTGTCCTATGACCTCATATTTGTGCTAAGGCACATGAAAACCTTTACATATGTATGTAGACATACACAAAAATAAGTATTTTCATAAAATACCAGGGGGGTCTGAAACAGGGTTTCTCTGTGTAACCTTGATTGTTCTAAAATTTTTTGTAGACCAGGATGACCCTGAACTCAGATATCACTGCCTTCCTCCAAGCTAGGACTAAAGACATGTGTCACCTGGCTCTAAAATACATTTTTTAAAGATGTAAATAGGTTTTTTTTTTTAATACAATATAACATGAATGCAATTATTACTAAGCTATAGGTTTTAAAAGGTTAAGAGGGGCTGGACAGGTGGCTCAGTGGTTGAAAGCTCTGGCTATTCTTGCAGAGGACTCAGTTACAATTCCCAGTACCCACATGGTGGTTCACAGTTATCCTTAACTAGTTCCAGGATCTGATGCCCTCTTCTGGCTTCCAGAAGCACTATATACACATGCTGGCCAAAAACCACCAAGCTCATAAAAATAAATCTAAAGTTAAAAAAATAAAACACAAAGGTAATGTAAGTTGTTATTTGTGCTTTACTATATACATTTATAAGAACACAATTTAAAGTGGCAGCTTCTATTACAAAAGCAAACTAGTTTTCATTTAAAGAGTAGATGCATTTTAGTTGGAAAAACAGTGCTTTATTAGTTTGTCAGGTCCTAGGTTTGATCCTCAGAATTAAAAATAAATAGCATTGTGTATCAACTACATAACAGATTCTCTGTAATAGACAATTACAGTGTACAAAATAATATGATAGTAGTCAAGAAAGTACAATTATTTAAAGACAAAACAATAGAAATTGGCTAAAAGGAAAAAGAGGAATGGGGAAAGCATTAAATGTGATGCTATAGTCAAACACACTAAAAAAACAGATCAACAGATATGCTTTAAAATAATGTATGACAATTTCTATATAGCTATATATACTTCTGGCTTACGGTTTTCCTCCTAACATAGTTTATACAGAAGCCTCACACCCCCCCACCTACCTGCAGTGTCTAATGGTAATAATTATTACTCTCTGAGATACAAAACAGTCATCTCTCCATACCCTTAGGTTTCACACCCTCAAGATGTCAGCAACCTCAGAAAACATTTAGGGGAAGCCCTTGCACCCATTCTGCACAGGGTTCTACCTGTATGACACAAACAAAAACCATTCAAAGCGTCTACACTGTGTGAGGTAGCATCATTTAGAAATGACTCAAAATGCATCTTCTTAAGCTAAGGGACTCGCAACCTCAGAAGTTGTACAACCAAGCCTACAAACCTTATGATCTCAGCTGCATGTGGTGGCTCAAACCTGAAGGAATTCGAAACTCATGGGCTACCCGGTGAGTTCCAAGCTATGTTGGGCTACAGTATAAGCACCTTTCTCACTAAATTCCTACCCTTTTACATGTCCTTTACATATCCTACATGAAAAACACATCTGTTTAACAAAATACTGTTTTGAATGGGGATACAAATTATCCATTTTTTTTCCAATTTCACTTGAAAGACTGATAAGCTATACTTATTTTCTGGGAAAAGAATAAGCCTATTACTTAAAATTACGAGTTATCAGGATAAAAATTGTAATTACGCAAAGCTTGCAGTTGTTGCAATAAGCTTGACAATTTCACAAAACAATGGTATTTCTGATGAGTTTAGGTGATGTTTTATGCTCTAAATGAAATGTGTCCACATTTTTCAGATCTGCATAAATCACTGGATTCTTCTCAGAGCAATCAATAGATCATTCTACAAGAATCACACAAGTAAAAGACCTGTTTCAAAGGCAAGAAAAGCCAACGGATTCCAATGTCCTGTCTTAGCATTATTACTGTAACAACAGAGTTAAGCATGAACACAAAAAACAAAACTCTTAAGAGTCCTCAGTATTACTGTTCTGTTTTAAGAGTTTAAAAGGAGGCAGGCAGTGATGAGCTCACCTTTAGTCCCAGCACTCAGGAGCCAGAGACAGATCTCTGTGAGTTTGAGGCCAGCCCCATCTACAGAGAGAGTTCCAGGGCTACAGAAAAACCCTGCCTTAAAAAGAAAAAGTTTAAAAGGAGGGGCTGGAGAGAGACCTCAATGGTGAACAGCACTTGCAGAGGAAACATGTTTGCTTCCCAGCACCCACAAGGTAGTTCACAACCAGTGTGTTTAACGCCAATTCCAAAGGATTTGACACCTTCTGGCCTCCATTTGCATTGTATGCACATGAGGGGAACACTTACACACCTAAAATAAAAACAATGAACAATTTTTTTAAGTGAAAAGGGGGTCACAAGATCAAATATTTGAGGAATTATTGAAAACAAAATGATATAATCATAAAGGACATTAGCATATTTATTTTTAGAATTACTACATGGGGGCTGGAGAGATGGCTCAGAGGTTAAGAGCACTGACAGCTCTTCCAGAGGTCCTGAGTTCAATTCCCAGCAACCACATGGTAGCTCACAACCACCCATTATGAGATCTGGTGCCCACTTCTGGTGTGCAGGTATACATGGAAGCAGAATGTTGTATACATAATAAATAAATAAAATCTTAAAAAAAAATTACTACATGGTAAAGTTGTACTAAGACTGACAGGAAATCCAGAAGCCATGGGGAAAATGATATTTGCCTACATAAATATTAAAATTTTTAAATCCAATCCCATACAATTCCAAAGAACCTAATAAAAGTAAATTGGAACTGCATTTGCTGATTTACTATTCCTGCTATTTGAGTAACTGGAAATCAACTCGAAAGATAATCCAAAAGGAAAAAAAAAAAAAAAGATATAGGTAAAAACCCAGAACAGACTCTCCAAAGAGAAAACCACAAGTGACCAAAAGAATATGAAAGTGCTCTCAAGCACACAGTAAGAAAAGCGGACTTCCCACTTCAGACTGGCACCCATCTGGTCATAACAAACAGCTCACGCACAAGTGGGCACATACAACAGCACTGCAAGGCACCCCACCACCGTTAACAAAGGGGAGGAAGGCAAACATACTACCTTTATACACTGTCCCCACTCATTACTAAATCCTCTAACTGTTAAGTGCTTATAAGAACATACAGAAACCACAAAATTTACGAAAAGTCAGTGATGGTTTTAGTACCAAATAGCATTTATAGTATTTTCCCAACTGGCATACTTTGCAAAATAAAAAAAAAAGATTAGAACTTAGAGAAATTGTAATCTCTTGAGATCTCACGAGGATTGAATAAATCTGTTTACACTTTTGCATGGTCTCAAATTTCTCAGCAGTCTGGTGTGCTGGGTTACTCCCCTCCTAATGACAGCAAAGCAGTAACTGGGTTCAGACAGCTAAAAGGAGTGTTAGCTGTGTATGCACATGAGTGTGTTGGCCTGTGTGTATGTCCATGGACGAGTGAAGGTGGGACTGGATGCCCTGAAACTGGAGCTACTGATGGTCATGAAAAGCCATCTGAGTCCTCTGCAGGAGCAGCTCATGCCTGTAACCATGGAGCATCAACCCCTAGAGTTAGGGTTTTAAAATGCCATAAAAAGGGCAAAAACTATGCTATCCCCTTGATGGTGAAATACGACAATAAATTACAAACAGGCCGGCAGGCTTTCAAGTAAACTCAGTTTAAAAAAAAAAAAAAAAGATCTGCTTTTGGTAAACAAATATGGAAACCAGAAAGGAACTCGACCCTCAGAAGTCAGTTCCAGTGTTACTTTTTTCCAGGTTCATGTACATTTCAAGTTTCCATTTTCTTCCCACCATCAGTAAAATAAAAATGTTTTTCATTACATAATCTGAAAACCCAGTAACTAAACCAGAAACATAGGTAAAGCTAGAGAACGGTATAACAAACCACCACCCATCTTCCGTTACACCGCTCATTTGAAAACTTGCCTTAGTTCCCCTCCCTCCTCCACCTGGTCTGCATGGGCCACCTCCTCTGGCCTTCACAAACCCCATCTCTCTCCTTTCTCAATCTGCCTTTGTTTCCCATTCTTGCTTCCTAATATGTCTTATCCACTTTTCAAATGCTCCAACCTCTCATTCCTTCACCTACACTTTACAAAAAGCCTTCGCTGAAGTCAGCAAGGAGTTACTTCAGTGTGCAGCCCAAGGGAGACTGTGACACCTTGAGTAAGTCTTGCTCCTGTATCCCTTGGCCCCCCACTGTCCTGTCTTCATGACCATATCCTTCAGAGGCTTCTCTTCTCCTCAGCGAAGATCCTTTGTGGGCTGACACCTGAGCATATACATCTAAAAGGAGGCACACCTCATCCTTCTGTTGAAACCTAGCTGTGCACCACCCTTCTTACCTCTCTCAGAAAGCAGCTTACCTGTTCTGTAGAGGGTGTTTGATATAGTGCTCTGGGTTGGCAACCTCCTGATTAGATTCTGTTTTTTCCTCTTCCACAGGTGGGGGATTAGTAGTAGGGGTGGTTTCCTAGTAGAAAATAATAAAGTAGGATTTAAAAAAAACTTTAAACAAAACCAGGACAGCAATACTATAAGCAAGTTTGATACAACGAATAAGAGCAGATGATTTCACAAGATTGACTACAGACCAACCCCTGGGACAACCAGACCACTTTAGCTCTTCATTAAAGCAGAAAGGCTTCTCAAATTTAAGTGATTTTTATAAAACTGTAGATACACCCCCCCTATTTGCACATTTTAGGTCATCAAAGATTATAAATAAAGGTAATGGCCCCTCCAAAGCTAGCTCGAGAATCCATCTCAAAAAACAAAAACAAAACAAAACCAAAAAAGAAAAAAAAATAGCCCAATTTTCTTAATATGTTAAAATATTATAGAAGGGCGGTTTAGTGTGTTCAATTCCTAGGTCCACAAAAAGAAAGGTAAACCAGTACTCTATATTATGGAGGTAGACTGTGGAAAGGTTTAAACTATTATTTTGCAAGTATAACAACTATGTTGATACAATGAAAACAATTAGAAAAAAACAAAAACAGACAAACAAAACAGCATTTCAAGTGAGCAAGCCAGCAGTACAGAAGTCCTTCATAAATTCATGTCAGACTCACTGCTTGACACAACAGCTGTTTGGAATTTTCTGTGGTAATATATTATTTATGATTTATTAAAGCTTGCCTGTGGTTTCAGAAAGCAAAGTCAGCCACAAGCCATAGAAGCCAGGCACACACCTTTAATCCCAGAAGCTAGGAGGTAGTGGTATACATCTTTAAAGGTAGATGATCTGTGAAACTAAGGCCACCCAGATCTACACAAGATTGATCCAGTCCTAAAGAGAAACAGCTTACACAAAGATGATATCAGCACCTGGGATCACACACTTTTAATCCCAGCATTAGGGAGGTATGTAAGACAGGAGCAAGGTCTCAGTATCAGGCATTCATTCTCCAGCCTCATGGAAGATAGGAAGACATTCAGACTTCTACAGTCACGCTGAGGAAAGGCAGCAGGATCAGCCCATTCAACCTGAGGTAATGGTAACAGCTAATGGCTTGGCTGTTTTGTTTTTCTAATCTTCAGCTTCAAGTCTGAACCCCAATATCTATCTCTGGGTCTTTTATTTTTCGTGATAAAATTTTCAACAGGTAAGGCATAATTAATATTGTCATTGCAACTATGAAAAGGAGCCTGGGAATAATTTAAAGCATTCACCACTGTGCCCTTTGCAGTTCCTCAGCCTGCTAAAAACTGACCTTAACAGTTAAAATAGCCAAAGTCAGTCATTAGAAGCTAAAACAAATGCCCGAACATGTATGTGCACGCACACAGGCACTTCAACAATACAATATTTTTTATTGAACTTATATACTCTTCAGCATTGAGCATCAAGCCTAAGGCCTTGTATGTATAAAGCAACACTGAATTATACACCCAGTCTAACTACCAGCTTTCAATTGACCCAGAAAGATATGTATGCTCTAAAAGACCTCAACTAGAAGCAATAAATACTAAATTTAAACGGTACTTTTTCTTAAATCAGCCTATAACATGTACAGAAACTTTATGCTTACCCAGACACATTGGCAAGCATCTTAATACTATGGTCAGATGAGAAGCAAGAGACAGGACCACCCAGAGGTTGTGGGCCAGCTAGCTTTGAGTATGAGATACAAGGGTGTAAGCATAGACATAGACACACACACACACACACACACACACACACACACACACTAAATACAAGAATAAACAAAAACTATTTAAAAATAAGTAAAGAGGGGCTGGAGAGATGGCTCAGGGGTTAAGAGAACTGCCTGCTCTTCCAGAGGTCCTGAGTTCAATTCCCAGTAACCACATGGTGGCTCACAACCATCCGTTATGAGATCTGGTGCCCTCTTCTGGTGTGCAGATATATACATGGAAGAAGAATTTTGTATACATAATAAATAAAAATCTTTAAAAAAAAAAAAAAAGTAAAGAGGCTGGTCAGATAGTTTGGCGGGTAGGAGACAACTGGTTCCTGCAAGTTCTCCTCCTGACATCCATGTTCCCACTACATATACACAAATAAGTAAATATAAAAAACTACATAGAAGTCACTCTATCACAGGGCTTGGTGGCACACGCCTTTAATCCCAGCACTTGGGAGGCAGAGGCAGGCGGATCTCTGTTGAGTTCCAGGCCAGCCTAGTTTCCAGTGAGTGCCAGGATAGGCTCCAAAGCTATACAGAGAAACCCTGTCTCAAAAAACCCCCACCCCCAAATCTTGGCATTACAAGTATGGTTTAAGTCTTAAAAACAAATCTTGATAGTGTCAAGGACATCTATCTATGGATTAACTGCCTCCAAAAATAAAACTGCACTCTTCAGCTGGGGTGGGGAAAGGAGGTTGCATGCCTTTAATCCCAGCAGCAAGTAAGTTCGAGTCTGAGGCCAGCCTGGTCTACAGAGGGAGTTCCAGGACAACCAGAGCTATATAGAGAAACCCTGTCTTAAAATAAGCAAATCACAAACACAAACAAACCAAAAACTGAACTCTTCAGAGAGGATAATACACTCTTAAGAATTAAGCTCACTGGGGCTAGAAAGAGAGCTCAGTGGTTAAGAGCACTGGCTGTGAGGGGCGGTGGCGGCACACACCTTTAGTCCCAGCACTCCTGAGGCAGAGGCAAGAAGATCTGAATTACAGGCCAGACTGGTTTACAAAGTGAGTTCCAGGACAGGCTCCAAAACTACAGAGATACCCTGTCTTGAAAACAAATAAATACATAAATTTTAAAAAAAAAAAAAAAAAAAAAAAAAATTTTCTTAAGTGACTAATGGTAAAGAGATAATTCTAAAGACATTTGGATAAGAGTTACCAAAGTCCGGGCTGGAGAGATGGCTCATCGGTTAAGAGCACTCACTGACTGTTCTTCCAGAGGTCCTGAGTTCAGTTCCCAGCAACCACATGGTGGCTCACAACCATCCGTTATGAGATTGGTGCCCTCTGCTGGCATGCAGGAAGAAGACTGTATACATAATAAGTAAATAAATAAAAAATCTTAAAGAAAAAAAAAAAAGTTACCCAAGTCTTAACTACAATTTCCACTGAGATACAAATTATTCACTTTAGAAAGTGTTTAATTTATGTGTATGAGTGTTTAGCCTGCATGGCACATGTATATATGTATGTGTGCCATGTTCACAGAAGTCAGGCTTCCTAGAACTAGAATTAGATGGTGGTATGGGAGCTGGGAACCAATCCAAGGTCATCTACTAGAGCAGCCAATGCTCCTAACTACACAACCATCTTTGCAGCCCTTAATTTTATTTTTAAGACACTATGTAGCCCTGGCTGTACAGGAAGGAGATCTGCTTACTTCTGCATCTTGAGTACTAGGATTACAATCATATGCCTTGACACACAGCTAAATACACTGACTTTTAAGGTTGTTTCTTACAGAGTACAGATGGCAGAACTGAATTACATCTTTACATTTAAAAAGAAACTTCTTAAAATGGGCATAATGGTTTGCATCTGTAATTGAAGGACTTAGGGAGGCTAAATTAAGACTCAATGTTCCAAGCTAGCCTATGCTGCCTAGCCATTTTGAGGTCAGTCTATGGAAGTCTGTGAAACCCTGTCTCAGAAACCAATGCAGCTTCCAACTGGCTACGTAGTAGATGGCAATGATCCTGAGTGCTAGGAATACAAGTGTACAGCACCATGGCTGCCTTTCCCAACCACATCTTAAATGCCCACTTTTTACCAAGATTTTCAGGTTTGCAAATCATTTGGACAGAAAAGTAAAGGCTAACAATAGATTATGGCTATTCTCAAAATAATCTAACACATTTTTAAACTGATAGCCTGACCTTGAAAGGCCACAGTATAAAGTACATTTCACAGTTAGACCAGAGAAGAAAGAGCAAAGTCATAGGATGGTCCTGTGTTTATCCAGACCATATCCAAGGTACTCAAAGTGAGGGTGGTCCAAGAAACTGAAGAGTGGGCAGTATGCTCCAGAGATTATGAAGGTCGCAGATGTCAAGCCAAAGAACATCTCAACATTTCAGCAGTGGAAGCCATGAACTACCAGGTCAGACAGATTAAATGCCCATGGCAAGTAAGGGAAGAGAGAAATACCATCGGTCCAAGTGCAAAAGAGTAAACTTGATTTTAGATCAGTTGAAGTCACATGTGTCAAATAAGGGGTTCAGTACTATACTTTAGAGATTCCAGGTTCAGTAAGCCATTGTACCAACAGCAGAAAGTTGAAAAGAAAGAAAAAAGCAGAGCAAGAGCAGGATAAATCTAACTAGCTGCAAAAACAAAACAAAAAATCTCACCTTTTTCAATATTCTGTAAAAATTAGAACATGTCAACAAGTTAATACTACCAATGTGTCATAGTCCTAACATTATATGGCTGAGTGTTTCCTGGGTCTACCCCATGTTTATGGTATTTTCTATAATAAATGTGATGAAACTTTAACTTCTTACTCTGATCACATCAATTTTTCATCAGTTTCCAAAACCTTGGTATGCTTGTTTGTGGTTTTAAATATTCAAATCTGTCACCAACTTGCAATACAAAGATGCATTTAATCATCTCCTCTGGAAATGAGGGTTAGCCCTCCAAGACACTCCATTGTGTCTACCACTACCTTCACACCAAAAATAACTTAACCCTTCATCTTCATTTGAAGTATATAAAATCCTTCAGTTTAGCACACAGCTCTCCTGGCACTAATATAGATTTGAAGCAGTAACTCCAAGTGCAGCCTACACAAAGTACTGCTGGTCTACCTACTAGTGATGGTCTATGGGAAAGATAAGCTATTGAAAAATAAAAATATGTAGCCAGGCATTGGTGGTGCATGCCTTCAATCCCAGCACTCATGAGGCAGAGGCAGATGGATCTCTGTGAGTTCGAGGACAGCCTGGTCTACAAGAGATACTTCCAGGACAGGTTCCAAAACGACAGAGAAATCCTGTCTCGAAAAACTGGGAAAAGAAAAAAAAAAAAAA